CGTGGTTGGTTAAGCCTGCGAGAGCTCGAGGGCCTCCAGGCCAGCGCGCAACATCCAACGCCGAGACAATCAGGCACAGGCAGCGGCCTGCCCGGCAAGCTCGTCAGCACAAGTGTTCCCTACCACGAGAAACTATGGTACCTTCGTCCTCATGATATCCCCGATCGGGAACAGCGCTCAAGATGGCGATGCGCGACGTGCCGCGGCCAGAAATCCGAATCTCAATCCGAATCAGCTCCCAAACAGCCTTATTGTCACCAAAGGTTGGTGGACGTACATGTGGGAATACCAACCGTCGGCGACAGCGGCATCATCTGCAACGTAAGTAGGAGCCTCAAACAAGTCAGCGAGAGACAGCAGGAGGGCGTGGAGCTCTCCACGAGATACAACTTGCCCCCGCCCAGGGAGGGCGCCGGAAACGCAAGAACGGAAGACATGGGGGATCTTTACAAGCAAGCGAAAACACACAGCGACCCCGACACGGCGAAACCAAGCTTCACGAGCGCCTGGCCCCCCGCTGGAATCTCCAAAAAACCACGGGGTGGTCTGGACGACCACGACCGAGAGCGCAACCGTTGAGGTTCGAGGTCGGAGTGTACCTGTCAGTAGCCACGCCTTCCCAATGCGCGGCATCATCTCGAGGCGGAAGGAGGGGTCCACCGGCGAGGGGAAGCAGACCTCGCAGCCAAGAGCAAGCTTCGCTCCTGGGACGAGCAACAACACGGCCGAGGAGCTCGTCGCAGTCTGTAAACGCCTGCGCCCCTCGACAGCAGTCAAAAAACCATGACCGAGGCAATGGGTCTCCGCGTCTCTACGGCAGCGCAGACACAGGGGATCGGTCTTGGTGCGCGACGCGTCCAAGACACGCTGGCGCGGCCAGAAACCACTCGCGGCGAGATCGATCATGACTTCTGCCTGACGGTGACCGCGGCGACTGCGACTACGACTCTGGATGCATTGACGCTAGCTGCGGCTGTCAACGCCACCTGCCACGCCCTCAGCTCAATAAAATTTGCCCGCGCGGGCCAAGCGCTGATCTTGAAACGCAAGAGCAGGAATCGCCGTGGAGTCATCGAAGCCCGCGAGGCCGTCCTCGCTGAAACACCACGAAAACATAGGGCCCTGGACTGCCCCACTCGCTAGGCGCCCGGGGCCCCACCCGACTTCCAGAAGGCGCGCGATGATGGCCGCGGCGGGGTCGCGAATATGCCAACTGACTTGATTGGGCGCAAGGGCCCGAAGCTGGTTGGCGACCCGAGGCCAACGGGGGCACTGAACCACGCAGAAGGCCAGAGATGCATAGCCGAACGCGGAAACCTGACGCCAGGATCCCATCCAGGAACACGCAGGTCCAAGAGCGCGATTAAACGCCTAGCTTCAGCTTTAGCGCCGTGAGCCCGAGGCGACGACGATTCGATTGCCGATAGGCTCCGAAAGCTCCGATAATCCGATGCCCGCGCGAGATCGCTGCCTGCGCACACGCCCCAACAAGCCCACCAGTGATCACATGGTTCTTCGGCGCGGGCGAAGCGGCAGATGCGACTGACCATGGCAAAACCCTCGACAACAAGCTCGATACGAGTCTTGCGGGCAGCTCGCGCACAGCCGAGGTCGACACCTACATGCGGCGCTCGATAAGCGCTGGAGACTAAGGTTCCACGGCGCTGCAATCGAAAGGAAACAGACCGCACGTCGGCAGGCCGGGTGCACACGAGCACGCTCTCGGGGGCGGCTTGCAAACCAACTCCCTGAAGTGTGGGGCGCGTGCCCCGAACATCCCGAAGCGCGATAGACCGTCAGTGCCCATTGGTCGCATCACGCACTGTCGGGAGCGGCAAAGAGGGGGGCGTCCAAGAGGGGGGGGGGCGCAAATCATGGCTGGCGGCATGTGCGCGGCCCAGCGGGGGGGCCAGGGACGTAATGAAATAAGAAGAGGCGCCATGAAATCTGGGGAGATATCATGGCCCGCGCCATGACATCCACCCCCCCTAGTCATCACCCCCCTCTTTTCCGCCCCCGATAGACGAGGGGTCGGCATGATCGGGGCCGGGGCGAAGTTCGGGGTCGCCATCCTCTGCCTGACCAGCGGCGGGGAGGAAGTCTGCGCCAGAGGGAGCCGAGGCCGAGGGGGGCAGGACCGAGGCGGGATGCAAGTGATGGCGGCGCGCCGAAACGTTCGCCGTCACCGCAGCCGCCATCATCGGCCCCGCCAGTGGCAGGAGCGCGACGCCGAGACGAGGTCGCACGATCGGTACTCTGGAGGTCGCCATCAAGCCCATCGATATGCTCCCCCGCGCGCAAGTGGGCGAGGCGCCGACGCGCGCGGGCGACGGCAGTCCGCGCGCTTGATTTAGAGCCTCCTGGCGGGAGGCCCTGGGCCGCGGGACCTGGCGAAGGCTCCGAGCCATCCGAAGGAGCGCAGTCGAGCTGTTCTCGATGCTGCCCGAAGAACGGCGCAGCCTCGAATCGCGGCGCCCCAGGCTGGCTCTGACAAGATAGACAAGGTGAGGACATCTTCTTCACGGGCCAATGACCACACTCGAGTGAGCATGGCCATCAGCCCGATCGCCCTGCCCCCTCCTGGCACCTTCGCAAGCGGCCGAACAGGCGCGATCAACGCCTGCCGCAGCCGCGCGAGGCTGGTCTCGCACGCGCGATGCTAACTGGCCAGGAGCTCGGGCCCGTCGCCAGGCAAGCGCCGCATGCCCAGCGGGGAGACCTAGTCGACGCCTCGCCCAGGTCGCGGCCCCATGGCCCTGGCAGCCGCGAAGGCCCGAGCTGGCGCGAGACCAGTCAACTGCTCGCCCGCGGCGGCGGCGCGGATCTGGGCAAACGGCAGATGTTCGCAGCGGCGGGACTCCAAAGCTTATGCCATCGTTTCACATCGCGGCCCAAAATATCCTGAAGCTGAAACGCGAACCCCCCCCCCATCCACCGCGGATTCGCGCGGAGAGGGAGGGGGCTTGGTGGGGGGCCTATGAGGAACGCCAACTGCGGGGGCAGTGGGAATCCAAGAATTGAAATTCTCGAGACACATTTGACGCCCCCTGCGCATGGCACGCGCAGCTTCTTGCTAGGCTACGTCGGCGAGGCGGGCTGGATTCTCGACGGAGGCGTCGCCGATCCAAAATATCAGCCTGCCGCAAAAAAACACGCGCCAGCTGAATAATCGCAATTAGCCCTTGGGAAACGCACGCTCTCGGGGACATCTTGGCCGAGAGCTTCACGCGCTTGAACTCGCCGACTTCGCCGATGTTCCATTGCTCATGAGCTGGGGGTGCCGCGCTACACTTCCTACAATGAGCCCAACGACACCGTCCCTGCCCCCCCCCCCCCCCCCCCCCCGCGACCCACCCAAACCCCCCCCCCCCCCCCCCCCCCCCCCCCCCCCCCCCCCCCCCCCCCCCCCCCCCCCCCCAAGGACCCCACCAAAGACCCCCCCCACCACCCCCTCCCCCCCCCCCCCCACCCCCCCACCCCCACCCCACCCCACTCCGCCCCGAGCTCACCCGAGCTGCCCAAGCCGGGGGGAGGTCGGGATGGGGTCGGTCGGGAAAAGTCGAAGAGGCGTCGGGGGGGGGCCGGGGGGAAGTCAGGAGGGTGCCAGGGGCGAGGTCGGGGGCGCGCGGGGGGGGTCAAGGGGAGATCGGGAAGGGGGGTCGGGGAAACGCTTAGGGGCGAAACCGGAAAGGCCAGGGAGAAGGGGGTTCGGGGTGAGTTCGAGGAGGAGGAGGGGAAGGGGGGCGGGGGGGGGGTCGGGAACGGTTATGAGAGGGTCTGGTGAAGTCGGGGTTGGTTGGGGGGGTTGGGGGGGAGGTCGGGAGTCGGAGAGAGGTCCGGGGGGGTCGGGGGGGCGGGCCGGTCGGGGAGCGATCGGGAGGTCGGGGGGGAGGTCGGGGGCACGTGGGGGAGGTCGGGGGGGGTCGGGGGGGGGGGGGCGGCAGAGGGTCGGGAGGGGGGTCGGGGGAAAGCGGGGGCGGTCGGGCGGGGCCAAGAGGGTCGAGGGGGCTGCCTATGGGGAGGAGGGGGGAGGCGAAGGAGGAGACAAGCATTTGAACACGAGCGGCACCATCCAGGTGGCCCCCCACACTTCAAACGAAACCAGCGGCACCATCCAGGGGGCGCCACTGATCATTTAAGCGAGCGAGCAGTGGCCACCTCTGCCCCCCCTGCCTTTCCCGACCCCCCCCCCTCGACCTCACCGACCTTCCCCCGAACCGCACCCGACCTCTCCCGCCCCCTCCTTCGCCCCCCCCACCCCCCCCCTTCCCCGACCGCACCCCCCGACCACCCCCCCCCCAACCCCCCGCCCCCCCGCCCACCCCCCACGTACCTCCCCCCGACCTCCCCCCACCAATCCCCGACCCCCCCCACCGATCCAGACCCCTCCCCCCCAGATCCCCCCCCATGCCTTTCCCCGACCCACCGATCCCCTTCGACCTCCCCCCTCCCCCTGACCTACCCCAACTTCCCTCCGACCTCCCCTCGACCCCGCCCGAGACCTCTGGCGCCGGCCTCATTTTCGGGCCCCGCTCGTTCCGAATCGTGCTCCCGCTGCAGCGTTGACACCATTTCCGCCGGCGCCCGGGCTGCACGCCCGAGCCGGCGCCCAGGCCGGCGCTCCGGCCGGGTCCGGAGCCGGTTCCGGCCGCCGCCAGGAAATCGAGTTCCGAGGCGGCGCCGAAATAATTCCATGCCATTCTAATACACATTTTTCTTTTGAGAATGCTGAATTTCTGTTTCCGGCGCCCGGGAGGCCTCCCGGGCATTCCGACGCCCGGGCCGGCGCCCGAGCCAGCGCCCGGGCCGGGCGCCCGAGCCGGCGCCCGGGCCGGCGCCCGGGCCAGGCCCAGAGCTGGCCCCGGCAGGCGCCAGCAAATCGAGTTCCGAGGCCCACGACCAGTAGTCGTCGAAGTAGTTATCGGCATTAATGAAAAACCACCGGTTTAAAATATCCTGGAGACTCCGAAAAACAACGCTTGAGTTGGTTACTGCACCACCTGTGCCGAAGTCCTGGGACAGCAGCTCCCGGCCGACCACGCATTTGTCGCGAGGGTGCCAGAAAAGTTGCACCACCCTGACTGGGTCGCGGCGGCGCCCGACCTGGTGGTAAGCCTTGCGCAAATCATCTTTGCACCCCACTGGGGGCACGCCGAAAGCTCTCTGCGAGGCGACCATCTGTGCAAGAATCACCTCGCTGTCTGAACACACTATGCGCTCGGCCGCCGCCCAAGTTAAATTAAAGAAGCAACCGCCTGGCGAGTCGGATGCGTCGGCGCACGCCCTGATTTCCGTGGAACAAGACGCCTGGCCGGACTCGTCCTCCGACCACCGTTTTTGGCAGACGGCGAACTTGCGGCAGAAAACGACATTCGCCCCGCCGCCGGCGCCGCTTTGGAAGTGCTCAACAGGCCAGGCGGGCCCCAGCGAGCCAGTGGCCTCCGCCCGGGCGCCCTGCTCCCAGACCTCGGCCGCGCGCGGGCGACCCCTGCGCACGCGATCAACCAGCTCTGCGTTGCGCCCGGCGGAGTGCGCCAGCAGCTGCTCGACCGACCACTCCGACGCCGCTGCCGGGAGCGGAGGGAAAATGCTAGAAGCGGCCGGCACCCCCGTGTCGGGCAGGCCCCGGTGCATGTTCTCTAAAAACTGCACCGCCGGGGACCCGATGAGGCGCAGGAGGCGGAGGAAGAGAAGGGTGGGCTCGCTAGCGAACCCCCGGAGGGCAGGGTCCACCGAGGCGGCCAGGCTTTGCTGGCTGACCTCAAGTTCCCGCTTCCACACTTTTAACAAGGCCAGCCGTTTCAGGCGCACCTCGTTGATGCCTGCGCCGCAACGAAATTGCGCTGACAACGCGCACGCCGTGCCCTCTGCTATCACCGGGAGCTGATGAAGCGGGTGGCTTCCTGCGGCGGCCAACTGCAGGGCCACCCGCAGGTGCTGCGCGGGCGGCAGTCCCCGCGAAGGCACCGTGGCGACGGCGCCCCGCGGGTGGACGGCCACTGCGGAGTCGGCGACCCAACCGCGGGCAACGGCGAAGGCTTCGCCCACGCCTGGAAGAGCAGCTCCAGGAGCGACTGGAACTAGGGCGAACAGGTCTGCGTTCGTCTGCAGGGCAGCAAGAGGGTAGGCGGAGGAATGGCAGCGAGGGGGGGAGGGAGGCGCGGCGGCGGCCGAAGGGCAAACAGGGGAAGCGGGCGAGGAGGGCGGGGAGGTCGGGGAAGAAGGAGGGGAGGAGGAGGAAAGGACAAGCAGGGGAGCAGCAGCGCGCGAGACTCCACTCGCTCTCAGCCCCGCAGGCGCCAGCGGGCGACCCTGCAGGGCATCACTCTCGAGCGGCGCCGAGCTTGCCGCGGCGGGCGACGGCGCGCCGCCCCGGCCGTCCTCCGGACGCGCTCCTCATCGCACGTCGCGCCCCGTAGGGCCGCCGCGGCCGCGCGCTGGCGGCGCCCGGCTGCGGCCCCTCGGCCGGTCCTCGGGTCCGCCCTTGCCGCCGCTGCCGCCCCTGCGCGAGAAGCCGTTCTGCTCGAGGTGGCCCACCAGGCACTTGTGCGAGCCCGGGCCTGTGGCGCGGCAGAAAGGGCACCCGTGGCGAAACTGGCAGGCCTCCTGCTTCGGGCACTGCCCGAAGAGGAAGCGCCGGCACGGAAACGCCAGGCCGCCCTGGCCAGCGGCCGCGGACGCGGCGGGCGCGGCGGCGCCGGCCTGCTTGACCTCCGTCTGGCAGCGGGTGAGGCGGCTCCAGTCGAGCTCGCCGAGGACGGAGCTGGCGTTGCCCCGGCCCTCTTCGTCGCCCTCCCCCCGTTTGCTGCTCGAGTAAGCCTCGAACAGCACCCGAGAAGAGTTGAAGGCGGCGGCCTGCTCGGCGACGTGCTGCGGCACGGCCTTGTCGTTGGCGGCGGCGGCCACCTGTCCGCCGTAGTTGAGCACGCCCCCCCACGACACCCTGCGCTCTAGGGCGGCGGCCCAGAGGCGAGGGAGTTCGCGGCAGGGCGTCTGCGCCACGGGACGCTGCTAGCGGCAGGCGTCGTCGGCCTTAGGCTCTGGGCAAGCCAGGAAGCGCCCGGCCTTGCGGGCCGACGCGGCCGCGCGGAGGGCAGCCTCGTCCGGCTCCAGGGAGCGCAGCGGCTCTCCCTGCTTGGACTGCTTCGCCAGGGTGCGGAGCTGGACCGTCGGGCCCCACTGGGAGGCGAGCTCCTCGAGGGCCTCGGTGTCCTGCTGGGCCGCCGCGGCCCCCACCTTGCCGAGGAACAAGTTGCCACTTGCGCTGGCGGCTGGCCCGGCCCCGCGCCACTCCGCCGGCGGCGCGTCGAAGGGGGGCGGGGCGCCGCCAGGGGCCTCTCCCCAGAAGCCCGGCGGGCCCGCAAGGTTGCGGGGGCCGCGGCCGCTCTCAGACAGCACAGCCACCATCTCCTGGAGGGCCGCCCGGCCGCGCGGGCCAAGGTCGGCGGGTACTCCTTTCAGGAAACCGCGGCCGCCCAGCGTCCGGAGGTCCTTGCGGAGGTCCGCCGCGTCGTCCTCGCCGTAGTCGCACTTGGCGAGTGCCGCCTTGAGCCGCTCCCACGGGCCCTCTGCTGCGAGCGCCTTGGCGGCCTCGCCCCCCTCGCCGAGCTTGGCCCGCAAGGCCGTGAGGGTGGCTACGCCTTCGAAGTGTCCCCCAGCCCCATCTTCCAGCGCTTCGCTGGCCCTGGCGGCGGCAGGAGCGGCCCCCCGAGGCTCGGACATGGGGGGGTTCTCGGAAGAAGAATCGGAGAATGAATGAAGAGGTACGGTAAGCGGTATGCAAACCTAAGGCAAGCGACCCCACTCTTGAGCCAAAATGGCTACGGACATGCTGCAGGGCGCACGCGCGTGCGCAGAGCGAAGCGAGGAGGGGGAGGTGAGAGTCTAACTTTGCTTCACCTTTGTGAATCCGAATTTGCGTCGCGGGGCCCACAAAACAGCTCAACGTGATCCCCCGCCTGAACCCAAGCCAATCAAAAAACGATGCAATCCATGAGGCGGGGGGGGGCCGGATTGCAGGTTTTTGGTCGAAGATGATTCCGAAAGGGCAGAGACGCCCATGAGCGGAGACAGAGGGTCCTGGATGGGGAGGCCCCGGGTAGCCCCAAGACGGGCTTCCAGGGCCTCGCTCGGAGGTCCCTGGGCTCTGTGCATGGGCGCGCGTGGAGCCGCCTCAGCGGGCCATGGGATGCGTCAGAGGGCTGCTAGACCATCGCGGAAGCTTCTGGAACATGTTGGCGGGGTCCGTTTTTGAGCCATCGTGGGGCCGCTGGGGAACCGTATGTGGCCGATCCTGGGCCGCTCTGGTACGTTCTTGCTCAGGGCAGGGCCCTCGCTGGACCTCTCTGCAGGTTCGAAGACCAGACCCCTGAACTCATTCAAGAGGCAACTACACGGAGGTACCCTACTTTACCCAGCAGATCCTCTCGGATTTCGCAGTCTCAAGATCTTCTTCCCCCTTCTCCTCAACCCTTTGCCGTGAGATTCCTCTCTTCCCTGGCGTGGCTACGCGTTGATTTTTCATTCCTTCGCCTTGTCCTCGGGATCGCCTGCACACTCTCTCAGATCGATCAGTGCCCCAAGTCTGGCCGCTCCCGCGAGACGCAGCTGCTGAGACGCGACCACATTTGCGAAAACGAGGCGCAGGGTTCCACGCTCGACCGCGTCGGCCGTTAGTGAATTCGTTCGCGCTGGGCCTGGCCTCAAGCAGCCATCCAGGAGACTCGAGCGCTCAAGGCCCAAGAGAAAGAAAAGGATGACGATCCTCACCGTGAGGCCGTCTCTGGCGATCCGCCAGCCGCGCGGGACGACGTCGCGCGCCGCGCCCGAGCGGCGGGCAGATCCGCGCGCGCCCGGGGCGGGCGCGGGGCGAAGCCGCCGGGGCGACGCGAAAGCCGAAGCCGTCGAGCGCCCCCAGAACGCGCTCGGCGAAGCGGGCCCATGGAAAGCACCCTGGAGCCCGAAATCGAAGATACCGTCCAAAACTCAGGTCGCTTGGGCTGTAGCTGCAAGTGTTTTCGTGGTTGCCCGACCCCTTCGCCAGTCTGGGGGCGCGGTCTCGGGCCCCTAGGAACACGCTTGAGAACTTGTCGCGTGTAAGATTCCTTGGGCGTATCGGTCTCTTGGGTCTCATTTGTGGGTCATCCGTGCTTCCTAAAGCTTCACAGGCGCGTCATCCACCACAACTGGCGCGACCTTTTCTGCCCATGGCGCGCCATCCACCCCAGATGAAGCGGTTCCGCCCGTCCGCTCACCAGCAGCTACTGAAACCCCCAGTCAGTCGCCCCACCCCATCCCCCGCGGAACCCCTTGCAGAAATGACTCGGGTCCAAATGAAACGGCCTGGCCTTCCCCGGGCGACTTTTCGTGAGTCGGCACAGGTCTCATATATCAGGCGATATTGGCCGGACCATCTCAAGTCAAGGCACCTTGCAACCGAGATCTGGGAAATTGGCCCGACCATCTTAAACACGCGAAGAAGTCTCTGCGCGGCCGTTCGGCCGCAACGACCGCACTTCGGCCGCAACGAGCATCTGACACAACCGACTAACAGAGTGGGCGCAAATGGCGCTGGCACTACTGCATTCTGAGAAAATCCTGAAAGATGGACAACGACAGCACTATACACTATAATAATATATGTTTTCACAGCGGCGCCAACGTCGGGACAGCCAGGACGATTTAACATGAGGAGTCACCGCAGCACCACCTATCTGCGCGCCAGCTAGGCGCTGCTCACCCGCACGCCACCTGGCCCAGGGGGCGCGCCCCGTTTTTTCCCGCAGGCGCGGCATCCTGCCAAGGTGCTGCGCTGCGCGGCGGCTGCGGCCTAGTCCAACTCACGGCCACCTGTTCGCACGCTGGCTGCGTGCTCCTAGTATCAGCGCGTTGCGCGCCAGCCCCTTCTGGCAGCGCGCCCCCCCCCCCACCGCCCAGCGCTGGGGCGCCGCGACGCGCGCTCCGCCCGGGCTGCACTGTGGCCATTGACCCTTTGGAGCACACGCCTCTCTTTTCCGCCGTGCAGGAGGCCCGTCTGGGCCGCCCGCCCGGCAGGGCCGCGTGGCGCAGGTGCTGACCATCGCGGGCGGGCAGCCTACTAACGCCCGGCCCGCGGAACGCCCCCTCCCCGCGGTCGGGAACCTTCCGGCGGGCCTTCAACGCGAGGCCGGCGGGGGGGCGGGGCCGGCAGGGCCAGCGTGGGGGCGCTGTCTGCGGCGCCGGCCTCCTTTGGCGGCCAGTCGGGGCCCGCTTTGCCTCCTGCGCTGGGCGGCTGCCCTGAGCGCGCTGCGGAGACGGCCCTCCGCCGCTGGCCTCGCCGTCGCACCCGGCGGGCGCAGGGCGACCCAGCACGCCGCGAGGTCGCGCAAGTGCGCGGACCAAATGCCCTTCTAGTCTGGGGGGGAGGAGGAATGCCTGCCGGGCCGTCGCGTAGCGGGGGTCACGGTGGGCTCGGGCTCGCAGGCGGACGGCGCGCCCCCTGACGGTCGTTGCCAGCCGCATCGGCCACGCCATGTGGCGCAGCAGGAGCGCTCTCCGGATGGGCCCCTGGGCCGCCGCCAACGTCTGCCTTGCCCAGCGCTCCTGGATACTGTTGAGCGTCGCCTCGATGCCGCTCACGCGCACGCACAGCTCGGCGCCGTAGAGGGTCTGTGCCTGGGTGCACACCGTGAGGCCCATCATCACCTCCTCGAGGGAGAACCCCAGCTGCGCCATGAGGTGGATATGGCGGCGCCCAGCCTGCTAGGCCGCGTGTCTTAGTGCGGCTAGGCGGCGCTGGCCTGGGGCCTGAGCAGCGCGGAGGGCGCCTAGGTGTCTGCACTCGTCGACGAACTCCACGCCGCGCATTGGCCGTGTGTCCGCAAAGTCCCTTGCAACGATCGCGATTTTCGTGCGCCCGTAGCTGGGGTGGCCACGGTGCCATCGCGACGCGTCCTGGATGGCCTGGACGGCTACGCCACACTGTCCCCACGAGCCCGCTTCCATGCGGACGTCGTCCACAAGCGCTCGGGGACCTACCCGGAGGGCACAGGCCTCGCCCAACAGCCTCAGGCGGACCGCGTCCAACGACGCACCCGCCATACGCACATGCATCCCGGTCGGCGTTCTCGTCGCCCAGGAGCGCGGCACATTGCTGCACCTCTTGCACCTCCTGCACGTCCAGAGCGGCCGCCTCGGTGCCATCGAGGTGTCGCTGGTACGCCAGTAGGCCATCGCTGGACATGGGCCCAGCAGGTAGGTTCTCGCCCCGTCCTGGCAGCTCCTACTGCCCCAGCTTGGGAGGCGCCGCCGCCGCGTCGCCCTCCTCTTTTTGCCCCCGGCAGCTCGCCGCCCAGCCCCCGCTTCCGCTGAGCGCCGCCCTGCCCTGGCTGTGATGCGTGCACTGGCCTTTGGCTCGGTTCGCTGCCTCTGGCCCTCCCCCCCACCGCCCCTGGCCACTCGCGTGGCCTCCACGTGCCGCTCTGCGGCAGCAAGGCGCCTTGGCTCCCTCTGGCATCCCGGCAAAGTGCCTGGCCGCTCGCTGCACCTGTTGCCGCCGTTCTCTTCCAGCGTCGCGGTCCACTCTGCACCGGCGCAGGACCGCGCGTCCAGCTCATCGCAACTGCCCCACGCCGCCTCCGCCTGCCACCCCTCGCCGCGCCCCCAGCCCGCAACCCTGGCGGCCCGCCGCTCCCGCTGCTCGCACTCGCTGGGCACCGCCCATCACTGCAGCCGCCAGCCCCTCCCCTGGGTGCGCCCGCGACGCCGCCTTGCGCTCGCTGCCAGGGGTTACCCTGCGGCTCGGCCGCCCGCGCCTCCCCGCGGCCTCGCCGCGTGAATGCGCCCTCTTTTCCCTCCTCTTGCCTCTGCGGCCGCCTTTCGTTTTCTCCCTCCTCTTGCACGCGGGACACTTTGCATCACCGCAGCCCGGGTTGCCTAGAGACGCGTGCGGTCTGCCTCTGCCGCGCTGCGACGCCAAAGAAATGTTTCCCAGGGCTTCTTGGCGGGCTGCTGGGGGGCACAGTCGGGAATCTTACGCACATTTTTGGAAAAAAGGGCCCGAAAGCCATCTCGAGGAGTCTTGGAGGCCCATTGGGCCTCTTGGGTACCTATTTGAACCCTCTTGTGGGCCTCCTTGGGGCCTGTCGGCGCATCTTGGGGGGTCATCTTTGGGCGGAGGGCTCGAAATGGCAGTTCGGGTTCCCCCTCTTTGGCCCCTCTTGGGGCCCTCTTGGGCAGTCTTCGGACCGTCACAATCCGTCTTGGGCCTCTCCTGGGCCTCTTAAGGGCCTTCTGGGGGGCCTCTTGAGCAATCGCGGGACGATTTCGGCGATCTCTTGAGTCGTCTTCGGAGAAGATGGATCCAAAATGCGCATTCTGCGAGACGTGCACGCTTGCCCCAAAAAAGACTCGACTACACGTGAACACCGACTGCACCTGTCGGCCGACCTACCATTCGAACCCGACTGCGCCTGTCACGCCCGTCGCGGATCGGGCGGTCTGGCCGCGGCTCGGGAAGTCCGGCTGTAGCGCACTGGGTCGCCTTCCGCGGATCAGAAGGTCTGGCCGCGGAACATCTGACGCCTTCGGGACCAGCGTGCGCCTGCGCTGCTCGCGGCGGCGCTGCGTCTTCGACTTCGACTGGAACGAGCCTCCCCCCTGCTGCACGGACGCGGCCTGACCAGCCCCTCGCAAAGCATCCCCCTCCGCGACACCATCCTCGCCTCTCAGGATTCCTAAAGGGG